TACAAACTGTAGTCCAAAGAAGCACATGAAAAGATGTCCGGCCCCTTTGTTGCTCACCTGTTCAAAATCGACCTCGCAGTTGAAATAGAAAGTGTAACAAAAACGTTTATTCGGCCACGAGTATCGTCATACACAATGAACGCCAAAAGATACCTGAAATACACGGCCGTTTCGTCAAACAGTAAAGGGTTGTGCTGCATCATTCGGATGGTTTAAGCTCTTGAGTCGAACGGGTTCACAGGGTTACGCGATCGACACGCTTGCATAGGATTTCGGTGACTGTGCATCCAAACAGTATGCCGAAACCAATACACACAAATATCTAATGCCTTCCACATTGCTCGACCGAATGATCAATGAACTCCGCGCAAAAGAGAACTTGGGTAAGCAAAAAAAACTTTCCCCGTGCGTGAACAACACACAGAAGTTCCTGGACGCAATGGATTGGAAATGAATCCACAGCAAGATGTCTCAAATGAGACGAATCACAATTTCATATGACAAACTGTATTGCTGAGCATGCTGTCCAATTTAAAATCCACCCTGCGAGAGGTGGGGTCATTATCCCTAGAGCAATTCAAGCACACGTGTAGAAAGCTTAAAAGTTGGCTTACTGTGAAGATAAATATTTGACGATCTCAGTAGAGTGCAGACGTGCTCCAATCTGATGTAGGTGTATGCGTGTAAATTCATCCGGTTACGACGGATTTTATAACCAGCACAAGAACTCAGAACAAACGTGCAATCATTATATAGGACATACGGATTTAACGGGGGTGGAGTGAAGTGATGAATCCATTCTTCTCGGGTGGTGTCTATTTCCATATTACGTGGACACGACAGGATCCTCCGTCGCCTAATTCGGACCGTGTCATTGGATAATCCGAGGACACAGGCCACTAGGAGTCATAAAACCATTTTTGTTTGATTGCAAGGGCAACACTGGTCAGCGATGGACTGTGTGTCACATCAAAAACGGTACATGGTCGGACAGATCGAACTGTACTGTGTACCGAAAATTTTCAGTGGTGTATGGAGAGGAAGCATAGATCCCAACCGGACTCGAAGGACCAATCCTCACAAAATGAGCAATCCCGTGGGAAGGGGGGCGATTTGTTTTGTTAATGGAAAGTTAAATCATGATAAGCTGAGAATAATGAAAATGAGTGGATTCGGCAAAACTAATTTCGTCAGGCAAAAATGAATAGATTGGAGAGAAGAAGGACAGACCAATGAACGAGTGAATAAAGAGCCTATGGTAACCAACTAGGTTTGATCCACGACGGAAAAAGTGGAATGAGAAACAACTTATTAAAATACTGAAAACATTTGGTTTCTTTTATTCGATTCATTAGAACAGAGAGAACACAAGTGCTACAAGACGCCAACATTTCTTTCAATCTCCCCATTGGCTACTACGTAAAACAATTGGGTATCTGTACAATCCCAAGTGGTTATTATAGTCAATTTTTCAACATAATCTCAGGGGTTAATTTGATAGGAGAAATCTAGGGTCATCAATCGCAAAACCGATCAAGACAACTGGACACATCATTGATCCACTTGTTTTGTTCAAGCAGTTATTACGCAGCATGAATTCGAGGCTCTTAGTCTTCAGTGAAGTAATCCCAATCAAGTTATGTATACACTTTGGTGGGCGCAAAATTTTCTGGCGTAATCAGTGAAATTGCCGTAGCACTGATTCGTACGCCTCCTCCTCTGAATGTTATCCGTTTAACCAATGTCGATATCAAAACTTTCAAGTACAAACCCCATATGTTTTTTACGTTCTAGCGACTGAGATGGTTACAAGAAATGTTAACATCACACAGTATTCATCTTCTCTATGTTTTAGTGAAATAAAAATACCTTTATATGTGGCTTATTGTAAGAGATTTACAAACTCGCTGAAGTTGCGTTCGAGAACCCAGTTTACATGCGGTTTCCAATAGAAGAAGAATAGGCAAACTTTTGAAAACTGTAAACTAATAAATTGATTGTGAATGGAAGTCCGAAAAAGCGATTAGAGCATGGCACAAACAAGCGAGGGCGGTCATCAGATATTACAATGTGTTTTCTGACCTTGAAAAATGTAGACTTTATGAATTTTGGTTACTTCGCGTTTGAAAAACACGCGTTTTTCAAACACAAATAAAGGGCACGCCTGGGACACTCTAGCTGCTTGCGTCTTCTCTAGTAAGCCGAGGGAGTGAATCGGACAATAGCAACAAGCCACAGAAAACACATATGAATATGATTGCCTTAAAGCCTTAAAGAGTGAATTAGGTATCTCAGGGGGAGGGGAACAAACATGCCGAAGGAACATGAAAATCCCCACTTGCCATTTAGTAAAAAGTCACTATTGCAATCAACTGATAAACTGACATCAGCGAGCTAGTAGTGACGGCTATCAGAAACGCTGAACTAGTGAACGACATAGGGCAAGCGAAATGTTATTGTGTGATAAACTCACCTTCCATCAGCTTCAGCTGCACCTCCGGGAGTGAGCGCTTTGATAAAGATTCCCAATTTCTGATGACCGCCAACATTGTCCACACCCAGACCCAAAATACTAATTCCCAATCCCTGAGGACCTGTGTTGAACAAAAAAGATGAAATTTATATTAGTGTCATAGTTATAGATGAATCCCGATCCGCTACAGGCGTCTGAGCAGGAGCTCGTTGTTACGTGCTGAACGATGGAAGAAATCAGTAGAAAAAAGTGAGGGAGAAAACCAGGTAACTGTTTGAACAAGGCACGGGGAGCAAAAGCAGTGACCAAGAAGCACGTTTTCGGTGCACCGTAAACACCTTACAAAATAATGCTGATTGGCAGCGTTGCTCTCCATTGACTCAACGACAATCTAATTAGTCGACTGTTCCAAACCGAGCGCCGTTGTCTCCCGTAAGCATAACTGAACAACTGATCCCAGTCTAGTGTTCAAAAGACTGAGGTGTGTAACGGAAAAAGGCGAAAAAATTTACCCAGTGTAAAACACAGGAATCGAAGCACAAATCACTTGGATCATAAGAAGACTGGATGTGGCCATTGAAATGATTGCAAAGTTTAGTATTACCCTTAGGCGACCAAATCATTCGTGAGGATGATTCGGTTTCACCGATTTCTCTGACGATAGCTGCTCACATGCGGTGTTCAGCGGCAATGTCGGAACAGTGTGAAATCCAGTTCTGATTCTAGCTTCAGAGGCCCGGAGATCCATGCCTTCTTGGGCTGTAGTGATCGGACTTACCACTTAGAGGACAGCGAAACGGTTTACGAAGCTATTCGATCAAAACGTAAGACCAGCGAACTTCCTCACTGAATAATCTATCGTACCACGTTCCCTTCAGGATGTATCGTATAAACTAATGATCTAAAACCTCAAGTATTAAGATGTCTTGGAGCCTTTCCGAATTTACGAATCTGAAAGAGTTCTGCTGTCGATCTCAAACGACGGATTTGATTGTCTGTTTTCGACTCGGATACGACGTGTCTGGTTAGGTGTCCGACTAAGAGCTGCACAAACTGGACTTCGTACACATGTATTCATATTCACACATAAATCCTTACAGATAAGAAATCATCACCTTTGATGAGTGATGCAGTAGTTTTGTGGCCACTTTGTCGTGGGAGCTGGAAAGCACGGAGTGGTTCAAATAATCGTCTGATCAAGTGCCTATCTCTTGAAAATAACCGAAACAAGGTTCAATCAAACTTTTTTGGATAACACTAGGTTTATTTTGCTTTTCAGTTTGTGTTTGGCAAAAATCACTGAAAGAGTCGATCCTGATTTGTATCCGGTCCCTGGGGAAAATGGCAATCAGTTGATGCACAAACACCTTAGCCCTCAATTATCTTCAGGCACCGAATACTTTTCGTATACTTATTTTAGCTATTATTTCGGCAAATGTTAAGTTGTAATCTGTCCCGAGATCGGCCGTTGATTTTCATTTTCGACAGATAACCTAGATTGAAAAGCTTATCTTTTATGTTGCACTCAAAGTGATTTCGTCGCACACGATCATTGTTTTTATTCCAATCTAGTAAACTGAAAGCCGATATATGTTCCGCTCGAAGGTTCCGCGAGAACCGATATTGTACATTTTCCTCAACATCTACTGAAGAGATCCAAAGCAAAACCACTCGCAACCTCTCAATTGTTCTGCAGCTTCCAGTCTTTCACCGAGATACCCGTTCTTCACCAATCAGCCATCTTTCTTACCCTGAGTTTTACTTCTCTAAGATTGCCCGAGTTGTAAACGCCCCCCCCCCCATACACATACACAAACTTTCTTCATACGCAGCGAAAAGTTCTTCTATGACCAAGCGTCTCAAATAGATTCCACTGAGTAAGTCTTGCTCACTGTCTTTCAGTGGTGCAAGTGTTTTCCAACGAAACTGAGAGGACCTGAGACCGGTTTGGTGCACCATTGGCAGGCCATCTAGGGGAGTTGGCTACAAACCTTCATTCCAAACCAACCAAGAGTTTTACGAACCACACACAAACACACCTTCCTGGTTGTGGCAGTGGTCACCTGCGGAACAAAGTACATTGAATGCTTGATCATATCCAAAGAATGCACGGCCGATGCGTTGAACACTGTCCACCACTGAACTGTTCATTTGTTGCAATGATTATTGCACCGTGATTTGCTTGACACGCAGGTGTGTGTGTGAAATATATAAATATACGTATCCAACAGATAACATGTGAGGAAGAGAATGTAGTGCATAAATGGTGTTATGAGACAGAACTCCAGGAACGTACCCTTTTTTAAATCCACATTGACAAATTCCATTTCTTCTAAATGCTTTTCTAACTCATACTCAGCCGAAGCTGCAAGCGGATCAATCTCGTCATTTCGACGATTGTATTCCAAAGTCGAATGTGTACTGTAGATCTACAAGTCATAGAATGGGAGATCGTATGTCTGGGGTAAAGTAAGTCTACGAAAACTACCATATATGCAGTGAATGTAACAAGCAACAGGAGTGTGTTGTGACACGTCAATAAGTCAAACAGTCGTGTATTCTCGGAAGGTGTTACATGTGGTGCACATATTTCTGTCGCAAAAATCCCTTGACACTCCAACACGCGAAATTCAAGGACAAAAGGGACGAAAGCCTCATCATGGAGAACGGTTGATTGGAATACCAGCTGCCCCCGGGAGAAACTGCAATTCAGTATAGGAAATAAACCAAGTAAAGGATGGTCATTCTTAATGGATTTCATCTTAACCAGAGTCTGGTGTATAAGAATGTCATTGCACAGATCCACAATACTAAGGTGAAATGCGACATGAAATGATGAAACCAAAACCAAATGGTGACAAAATATTGTATATGGTATAAGCTGGACTAGAAAAATGCTATCAATAACTACCGGGCTTGGTTGACTTTTTAATAATAATCAGACCACATCGACAACCGTTACTGGTCCCAGACAATCTTGAAACAGAAGCAAGGATTCTGACCAGCCGTATTTTTAAGCTCCCAGCATCACAGGGTAAAGTGTAAAACCATTTGCGAATAGGCTGTTGAACGAAGTAAATATTCACACTGGATACCGTGGACTGTGAAATCTGGGTAGATGAGGTCAAAAGGTGGATCTTAACTGCCAATCCTAGTAGGTTCATTAGCATTCCTATCACACATGACGTGGATCCAAAGTGAACAAATCACGTGTGAATGGGTTTGTGATAGAGCACAGCAAACCGATAACCGAGTGAGTGAACTTTAGCAATGAACCAATACGGGGGACACCTCCACATTGGTATGTATACAGGCCGATTCGACGACTAATCGCTCTGTTTATGCTGTGCACGTGTATGCGTGAGACAGAGATTCAGATAATATTTTCGGGATTAAGACGGTCACAGCATAACCCAATGGCTGCTTGTGGTGAACAGACGTAAGCATGGACAGGGAGGCCAATACTGCGCACAAAACGGTTAGCAAAAAGCTGACAGATAAGGTGGGTGACAGATTGTGGAGAAGCTCACATGAACATGAACTATCCCCGCTCATTCTGGCTTTCACATACCTCGACACACACACACACACACAGAACACGGCCTCTACTAACCGGACATTAGCCAATCGCCTGGTGGTTGGCAGGTCAAGCACGCGTGGATAGGATAGGACGCGCGAGAAAGTGAAGCTACGCGACAACAGGTCTCGTCGCGAGCGGATGAGTCACGCAATTAGGTTGAATGAATCACATGGGGTCGGTTACTAAAACCAGTGCGAACGTACATACCCACACACAGCCGTGGATGTGTCCGGATTGGTACTTCAGCAGTAGACGGGTGACCGGGTGTGCTTAAAGCGAATAAATAAGCACATGGAATGTGTGGACACAGCCTGGCAATTGTGAGGACGGAGTCAAGCAAAAACTGAGGCATCTATACTGAATAACGCAATGCACAAACGCGTCATTTAGGTGAGAATTGACAAACGATTTTCACTGCGAACACCATGTGCTAGTGAAGACATGCTTTGACTGTGACCACAGTAAAATTCTGAGCATTATAGAAAAAAAATTACGGATTCGATTTACCGTAAAAGAGAAGTAACGCAGTGGAATCAGCATTCGACGTTTGCGCACAGATTTCCCTGCATTGCACGTTGGCTTTGTCCAGGTAAAGACGTGCAAAAACAAACTTATCATGCACTCATCGAATGGGCATATGTGTCTCCGTTCTTACGATTGTCCTCTGCCCACTCTATAACCATTCGGATTGACCAACACCAGTACACTTTAATCTCCGTGACTTACGAGAGAACCAATTTGATCACTTCTCACTCTAAAAGGAGTGGCCCGGTGATAATGTCACCAAACTATCACCCCCTGGGGGAGGGACGTGTTCGAATCTTACTACCACCGCCTGAGTCCCCAGTGTGTTGCCTGGTAGCCCTTTGATTGGCCGCCTCCCACTTCCTGAAAGTTGTATCATTGTGTATTCAATAAAAGGAAGTAAAAGTGAAGAGAA